TATATCCAAAAAACTTCAATCTTTCTGTATATAATTATTTTTATTTTTATTTTTTTATAATTAAAAATGCCTTCTTTATTCTTTATTTCTCGTTTATTGAGGCCATTCTATTACCTGTATGCGAAAATCTTCTGTATAATATGTCTAATAATATGCGAAAGAAGAAAACATGCGATCAATATTATGTACTATCGGTCATGACCTATGTATGCGAATCAGACACCTAAAACGGATATTATAAGTCAAATTATAACTGCAGGTCCTACAACGCTCAATGCAACGAAATATTATGGGAATAACCAAAAAATACCGTAAAATAATAGAGTGGATACGACAAAAGACCCAGGCAATAGATGTCAACCACAGAGTCAAATCCCTCAAGTGGCTACCACAAAAATTACAGCATGTTTGCACAGCAAGTGCGAGTCGGACTCGCGTACGAGGGGTTCCGTACCATTCATTATCTATACAACATTTAATCTGATACTATATTATTATAAACATTTTTTCCGATTTAGCTGAAATTTTGAATGCGCGTATAAGTAATTTAAAAAAAATGAAGAAACAGATTACTAAAAATTGTATTAATCAATAATAAATATGTAAAAATATGTAAAAATTAAAAAAAAACTATTAAAAAAAACGCCTTGACTAGGATTCGAACCTACCTTACTATGGCTCCAACGTTATAGCAGCGTAAAGTCCTAACTAGTGTTGGGGAAAATCAGATGATTTCAATCCTCGAGTATTGATCCTCGAGGATTTCAATAATCGGATGATCATCCGAGGAATCCTCGGTCATAAAATTTTCTCTGTATAATATTTCTCGATCGAAACCTGAATAATACTCGCCGCTGGGTGTGAGTGACTATGCTTGCTGTTTTGCCTGATCAAACATGAAATGGGGCCAGGCTACACCATTATTGGAAATGGTTGAATAAGGTGACAATTATGATGATGATGTTCTTTAATTCAAAGTTTAGATGTTGCATCAACATAATTTTTTTCACATCCGCAAGTTATTTTGTATATCGTTTTTTAAATGCTTAAACCTTAGAAACCTTAAACCAAGAAATACACCCGACAACATTATAGAGATTAGTTAAAGTTCAATGTACTGTATGATCGAATAAAAACGGCGTCAGCGATGGCTATGAAATGAAGATCGCTGTCATTTTATATGTAAAATTATATGGGGAATGTCAACGATGTTCATTTCCGAGCCAACTGGACGCCGTTTTTTTTCGATCATACGGTATATACGTATTAATGTTAAATTACCATAACTCTATTTTTTAATCAATACTTTTTTTCTGTACATTTTAAATAATTAGAACAAAGAGACAAGTCAAGTTCTTGTTATTAATTAAACATTTTTTTATAAATTTATTAAAATTACTGGTTGCAGGTTTCTAATTAGGAATAACCAAACCATATCTAAAAATATAAATATATATACCGGGTGCGTCTTAAAAGTGGCTCACCCCTATAACTTTTTTAAAAACGAGATTTGGTATGTTAGTATATGACATAAATTAGGATTGATTGACTTATTCAATTGTTTTAGGTCACTTCCTGTTTTACCGGAAATGACTACAACTTTTGATTTTTAAATGGAACTCTCGGTATTTTTTTACTCTATTCGATAGAAAATAACACTCTGGATATAATGAAGTATAATATGTCAACTTTTGACATTTTCGCATATGGTTTATTTAAAATTTTAACTTGCGGTTCGTAACGAAAATTTGACTCGAAATATCAAGCGTGTAGTATCAAATTATTCATAAAAAAATGGTTTTTCCAAATATGCTAATGAGCCACCCTGGTTCCATTTGAAAAAATTAAGATATGATTAAAAATACGATTTGAGCATTTCCTATAACTGGCCAGGAGAAGACACTAAAAACATTAGACCACCCAATCTATTTTTCCAAGACTATTTGATAAAGAATTAGTGTTTTTAACATAGCCATGGCTCACTAGATTGAAATTTAAAATATAATTTTTTATTAAGCGAGATTGTCAAAAGTTGACATATGATATGTCATTCTATTCAGAATGTGATTTTCTATCGAATAAAGTAAAAAAATACCGAGGGTCCCATTTAAAAATCAAAAGTTGTAGTCATTTCCGGTGAAACAGGAAGTGACCAAAAAGAATTGAATACATCAATCAATCCTAATTTATGTCATATACTAACATACCAAACCTCGTTATTTTATCTGAAAAAATAAATAAGTTATGGGGGTGAGCCACTTTTGAGACGCACCCGGTATATAAATAGAAAATTATTAAATTCAGTCATAGCATGACATACACACACATAGTTGTTATGTATTTAAAAATAATTGTACTAAATTATAATACTGATTTTCGAAGTATTTGCTTTCTAGGGAAGTTTATTGGTCACTTTTAATTTTCTATTTTTTTATTTATATTTTTTTAATTTTCTTTAAACTGTAAATGTTATGTGTTACTGAACTCAATACTTTCATAATGGGTATACATAATTTATACAATAATTAAGAATAATACCAGTATCAATAAACACAACAGCAAATTAATTTGTGGTTATAAAATCATTCAAGTAGGAAAATTGTTAATACCTAATATATTTTTTACGTAACTGTATGTTGTTTAACAGTTGTTTCCAACAAAACTAAGACTGAAAATATATGTTTATTTTGCGATAGCCTAACAAATATAAATTAAAGTCCAACAAATAGTATACATAGATTAATAAATTCTAGCACTTTTAAATTTTGTGGTCAGTGATCATCTTTTTTAAAGGTACTTTATTTAAAAATGGTTGAGTGCTACTATTTTAAACTGTAATTCATTAAATCGAAAAAGCTGCACTTTACCTTAGAAGTAATTGGTACGTGCGCTCGTCATTGTGTTAAAATTAATCATGCAATTAATCATATGTAAATGATGATCTTACACCCACAAACATGCGTTTTCTTTTGTGTAATAGTTCCGTAAACAACCTTTATACAGGGTTGTTCACCACATACGACACGGAGTATTGTAGCTAAATGATTAGATTCTTACAAATTGTAAGTTTTGGGTTCGTTGAAGGACTATTAGAGCTACAATTTACAAATATTTGACAAGATACAGAGTGTCCCAAATAAATAAAAATATCAAAGTTGAATTTTTTTAAATGTAACACCCTGTATATTACTACATTATTAGTTTCTACGATTAAAATAAAGGTAAATTTGATTAAGGTTTATTACACTTAAACCTTACCGTTTTTGAAATGTTTTCAATTTTGTGAAATTGCAGTAAACATTTTAAAGCTTCATTTCTCCAAGGGTATCAAAGTTTTTAATACTAAATATTTACTGAAGTCTATTTATTGAACAGTTATTGTGTTGCAATTATAAAAATAATACTACCTCATACAGAGTGTCTAAAAATTTATTTTAAATTATTTCTAGCTTTAAACGGCAATAACTTGTTTAATTTAAATGGAACGCCCTGTATATTTTAGGAGAATCAGATGTACAATTTAATTGTCTATCAAATTGTATTATACCACTTTTTACCTATCCCTTCAAGTTTTCGTAGAAAATGCATTTTCTTATAATTTAGACCTCATTTATCAATATACCCATGGAATATTGACATTTTAGATTGTTTTTAAAGCAACAAATGTACAAAATAAACAGGCTAGTAATATTATCGTTTTTAGCAAAATGATAATATTACTAGCCCATTTGTATGCAAAAAGAAAACTATTTAAATTTTTATAAAAGAGTATACCATTAATTAAATATACCACCATTATTTCCGCCCAAGTACTAATTATTTACATACTTAATTATGTTCGTTAATAAATTATTCTAAATAAATGTGGATTTGAATCAGAAATCAATATAATAATAAGTTATGAAAATGAATGTCTTTGTTGTTAGAAATAAGAATTTATCAAAAAATGAAATATCATTTTTAAGGTGTTACTTTTTACCACACTGTCTAATCCGCATACAAAATTCAGTTTTTTAGTATTTGGAGCAATTATTTTAATCAACGCAAACAGTCAATTAATGTAGTTTAAATACTGGAATCATATTAATTGGTCTTCTTTAACAAATATTTAAACAGTTTTTTTATTTCTTAATGAAATAAGCAAACTATATCGACAATATTAGTATCTGTACTTTTTAAAAATTTGGTACTCTTTAAAAATAATCTAAAATGTCAGTACCTATTCCATGGGTATATGATAAATGAGTTTTAAATTACAAGAAAATGCATTTTCTACCGAAACTTGAAGAGATATGTAAAAAATGGTATAACACAATTTGATAGACAATTAAATTGTGCATCTGATTCTCATAAAATATACAGGGTGTTCCATTTAAATTAAACAAGTTATTGCCATTTAAAGCTAGTAATTATTGAAAATAAAATTTTAGACGCTCTGTATAAGGTAGTAAATTTTTTATTATTGCAACACAATAACTGATCAATAAATAAACTTCACTAAATATTTAGTATTAAAAACTTTGATACCCTTGGAGAAATGAAGCCTTAAAATTTTGACTGCAATTTCACAAAATTGAAAATATTTCAAAATCGGTAAGATTAAAGTGCGGTAAATCTTAATCAAATTTACCTTTATTTTAATAGTAGAAACTAAAAATGTAATAATATACAGGGTGTTCCATTTAAAAAAATACAACTTTGATATTTTTATTTATTTTATTGGACACTCTGTATCTTGTAAAATATTTTTAAATTGTAGCTCTAATAGTCCTTCAACGAACCCAAAACTTAAAATTTGTATAAATCTAATCGTTTAGCTACAATACTCCGTGTCGTATGTGGTGAACAACCCTACATATATAAATTTCAAAATAATTAAAGTCTTGTATAGGCAGCTATTATGGTTTTGATTAGATGAACAATAAAATAAAATATATTAAAAATTCTATTAGATGTAATTCTTTAAAGCAGTAATTAAGTTTGGCAGATTTTATGCTTACCTTCAAATTAACTTTCATCATTAGAGATGCGTGTAGCTTACAGAGCATCAATTATATTACCATTAGTTTATACCAGACAAACTAAATTTACAACTAAATGATTAGAGATGCTGATGTTATTGTTTATAGTAAAATCAAGATTAATTGTTGAACTTTATATCATAAAAAATACAAGGTGAAGAGCGTGTGCATGTTGTCATATTCTAAGTCAATATTTCATGTTTTCTATTTATTATTATAGCTTAGTTAAATATACAGGATAGCCCAACGTTCAAAAAAAGCTCTATACCAATAAAAATTGAGATAATTGAAAACATTTTAAATGATTTCTCAATGTTTTTATTTACTTGATGAAATAAGAATATGGTATGTTAGTATATGACATAAATTAGGTTTGATTAACGTCTTCAATTGTTTTTGGTCACTTCCTGTTTTACCGGAAATGATAACAACTATTGATTTTTAAATGGCACTCACTCTAGGTTTTTTTACACTATTCGATAGTAAATAACACTCTGAATAGAATGACATATTATCATAGTTGTCATATATCATAATGACAACTTTTGACATTTTCTCCTATGATTTATTTGTAAATAATTGTAACATGCGGTCCATAACGACAATTTGACTCTAAATACCAAGTATGTCTTGAAAATTATAGACCGATAAGCCTTCTTTGTCACTTGTATAAGCTGTTTACCAAAATCATTGCCAAACGTCTCAAACGTAAACTAGATTTCTATCAACCAAGAGAACAGGCAGGCTTTAGGAAACGTTATGGAACAAACGATCATCTTTAAGTAATTAAAGTCCTGATAGAAAAATCTGTGGAATACAACAGGCCCCTAGCATTGGTGTTCGTTGATTTCCAGAAAGCATTTGACACAGTAGAATTAACATCAATAATAGCAGCATTGGAGCAGGGAAGAGTAGATTATAGGTATACAAGGCTTATAGAATACATATATAGTAATGCCACCACAACTGTAAAACTTCGCGAAACAACAGATAAAATTGAGGTAGGCAGAGGAGTTCGACAAGGGGATACTATTTCGCCTAAACTTTTTACAGCTGTCCTTGAATACGCAATGAAATCACTCTCTTGGGAGAATAGGGGCATAAATATCGATGGTGAAAGATTGACACATCTCAGATTCGCAGATGACATCGTCCTTGTCTCAGATAACATCGGAGATTCAAAGCAGATGCTCGAAGAATTAGTGCAGGCCTCATTAAAAGTCGGTCTCGGGATCGAGTAAAACGCAAATAATGACAAACTTAGTGCTGACACAGAACATCAGAATAGGTGACGCCGACATAAAAGAAACACATATATACAAATATCTCGGGCACGAAATGCAAATCGGAAAGAACAACCAAACATACGAGATACAGCGCAGAATAGGTTTGGGTTGAGCTGCTTTTGGCAAACTGCGGGAGACCTTTAAAAGTGATATACCCATATGCTTGAAGAGGAAAATTTATGAACAATGCGTCTTGTCGGTAATTACATATGGAGCGGAAACACTAATATTAACGAAAAAGTCAGCAGAAAATTTAAGAGTAGCCCAGAGAGCCATGGAGAGAGCCATGCTTGGAATAACTAAAAGAGACAAAATTCCTAATAACACTATCAGACAAAAAACCAAAATTAAAGACATAGTGGAACACGTAACTCGAATGAAATGGAGATGGGCAGGTCATGTGGCGAGAACATCTAAAGACAGATGGACTAGAAGATTGTTAGAATGGCGACCTCGAGCAGATAAACGTAGCAGAGGCAGACCACCGACACGCTAGACCGATGATGTAAAGAGGATTGCTGGAAATTGGATGATGACGGCCCAAAATCGAGAGACATGGAGAAATATGGAGGAGGCCTACGTTCAGCAGTGGACAACGATGGCTACATGATGATGATGATGATGACCAAGTATGTGGTACCTACCAAATTATTCGTAAAAAAATGTTTTTTTCTAAATATTCTAATGAGCCACCCTGGTTCCATTTGAAAAAATTGAGATATGATTAAAAATACGACTTGACCATCTTTTAATCAGCCAGGACAAGACACGATAAACATTAGACGATCAAATCTATTTTTCCGCGCGTTGATTAAAAATTAGTGTTTTTAACACTGCCATCTATCCAATAAAGAAAAAAATAGATAGGGTGCCATTTAAAAATCAAAAGTTGTAGTAATTTTCGGTGAAACAGGAAGTGACCAAAAACAATTTAAAAAGTCAATCAATCCTAATTTATGTTATATACCTACTAACATACCAGAGATCTCGTTTTTTTTTATCCCAACATTTTTGAGACGCGCCCGGTATACGTATGTCCCCAGATCGTCATTACAAGGAGAAACTTTGTTATTATTAACAGTTTGAGAAAAAATAATTCTTTATAAGAAATGTTGTATGTGTTCTAAATTGGTTAACTCACTTTATAGTTTTCCAAATTTTCATATCGTTTTAGAGAAAAATAAAAAAATACAGTTGATTTTTTTATTGTCGTATTGTTTTTTTATGTTTTGTTTACTATGTTAAAGAAGTACCTACAAAATTTATGTAGTCCAAATTACTGAAAAGGTGATTAGACATTTTGTTCTTCTTTAACATTTAAAATTAGCACAATATGACATTAAACCAAATACACTCATCCTTACCTAAATTTTAACAGAAAATGTGCTTCTATATAGACGGTGTGTCTTAAATAAGTGCAAATATATTCGGGGCTGCTAGATCTCGATAAAAGAAACATATTTTCTCTTTGCCATTTTTTCAAACAAGTCCAAAATACCAAGTTATATTACTTTGAAAATTTCATACCTCTACTTTTCAACCAATAACATGCTTTAATGTTGACTAGTTACCATGGCAACTGAAAAAATTTCCGGAAATTTTTTCGAGGCGCCACGAAACTTTAGTCGAAATTTTTTGACAGTTGAAAAGGTAAACATAAGATCTACAATCATAATGTGAATGAACTACAATGTCTATATATTGAAATATTACCCATTTGAGTTTTAGCATTTGATGTAACTAAGGTTGGTAATATTTTTTTATTTAAGGAAATATGTTAGATATACCTACATATGAATTTCTTCGAAATTGCCATGTTCTAAAAAAAATATAGTTCTGCCGCCTTTATTTAACTAAAGCTGGTATTTTTCTATTTAACGAAATATGATGGATATACACTTGATTTTGATTTTCGGGTGTTATCTGGTTTTATATTTTCAATTTCTTCTTTAATGACTTGTTGGTTTACTTTTCCAAATCGCGACATTTCGCTATACACTTCTTACTCTACGTACAGACGTTTTAAAACTAGTAATAGCTTAATGACAGAATCGCAAACAAAAATGACAAAACACATAATATGTCAAAAACATCAATACCTTGGCCAACTTAACAAATTGAAATTATTTTAAAATGTCATGTTGGATTAATATTTTTTTTTTTTTCAAATTTAGGTGTGAAATTTTCTTACCGAATAAATTCCTCGTCTTCGACTCGGGATAATTTTCAAAATATTCGTGCCCTCAAAAAAATTTCCGAAAATAATTTAAGCTCTTGTGATATTATAAGTGAAAATTTAAAAAAAATAATTTTCGCTTACATTTTGAGAACCATTGGATTTTTTTTAGGTTTTGTTTCTTGTAAATTTATTCTACTACCTCTGTTGCCATATTATGAAGATATTATATGCTCGATATCATCTTTTTTAACTAAAAATTTAAAAAAATAGAATTTTTTTTTCAAAAAATTCCAAATTTTTTTCGCGTAAAAAAACCTCAGACGTGTTTCTGGAATCGGAATATACTACCCCTAAAAATATTTGCACTTATTTAACACTCACCCTGTATAGTATTTAGTGTAATTTTTGGCTTGTATAAAAATATTTTTAGTCACATCAAAATTTTAATGTTAAAATCTAGTAGACGATAATAGAGTCTACTAATTAAAAATCAGAAATAAATAATATTGGCCCAAAAGATAGAGATAACGGCAGACACACGTGTTTCTGGCTATAATGGCCCTTCTTCTATTAATGGCCTATGGTGCATCCAAACATGATAATTTGGAGATGAAAAAAGAAAAAAAAAGGGTAAATACAAGGAACAAACGGGAAAACCCGTGTCACAGTAGATTTGGAAATGAAGATCGCTGTTCGCTGTTATTTTATATGTAAAATTATATGGTAAGTATCATCGATCGTCTTTTCCAAGCCGAATTGCCGGCGTTTTTCTTTTCGATCCTACGCAAATCCTACGATATACCGGGTGTGTCTCAAAAGTGGCTCACCCCTATAACTTTTTTATTTTTTTCAGATAAAAAAACGAGATTTGGTATGTTAGTATGTATATGAATGATAAATTAGGATTGATTGACATATTCAATTACTAGCGTGTACCAGCGACTTCGTTCGCGTCGAATTAATCATTTGTAATGGTGATGATAAAACAAAGCAAGAATTTCCATTAACATACAAACTGGATAAAATTTTCTCAGATTTATGTCGGCATGAGAAAAAACAATATGGCGATACTATTATATAACTTGGTAATATTTGAGGGACATATTTAACATCTCGTTGGAATTTGACTTTCGAAAAATCCGTTCGCCAAAAATAAGCTTTTTACGTTAAGGAGTTTAAGCAGAATCGTGGTTAATCAATTACCCAACTTTTTGGAACACCCTGTATGATTTTTTAAAAAATTTCAAAATATGCAAGAAAACCAAATAAATTATGCTTGTCCAAGCGTTTTCCCGAAAGACTCACCGTTTTTTAAATAACAAATATTATAATATTTGAGAGGCGTTTTCACCCTTTTGGAATTTGAGATTCGAGAAACCCCTCCTTATCGAACCTTTACACCCCACAGTCAATCCGTTTGCCAAAAATCAGCTTTAAACGTCAAGCAGTTTAAGCAGAATCGTGGTTACTCAATGGTCATATTTTATGAAACGCCCTGTATAAATTTATAAAAATCTTAAAATATGTAAAACAACAAAATAAAATATACGTGTTTAAGAGTTTTTCCGAAAAACTCACCGGTTTTTAAATAAAAAATATTTTAATATTTGAGAGATAGTTTCACCCCTCGTTTCACCCCCTTAGAATTCGAGTT